TGCAATTTTTTTTGTTTTTAACTTATGACAGAGATCAGTATGTGCATGCACAAGCTTTTACAGTCTGTTCCAGGGTGAGGTTCCTCAATTTAACATGATTCTAGTTGGATAGCTCAAATTGTTCAGCTCCTGGGCAAGCGGTACTGAACTGGCTCCCTTTCTTTATTCACCTGTCCCCTCAGTGGGTTGTAACAAGACAAATTAGAAAGAAGCCCTTCCTTTGTGGATACCTCTCTCTCAGACCAAGTGAATTTATCTTTTAAAACGAAACCAATATGGCCAGCATTTCTTCAGTTAAAGAAAGAGTGAGTTTATTAATTAATTACTAAATGTGAGCAGAAAGAATAATAGAACACCCATCCAAACATATTAGAAATGAGATGTTTGTCCAAAAAGGGATAGAAATTAAAACATGTACAAATCAATCCTTTTATGGATTAGATCGCAGAACATTAACAGTTGAGCAGTCAATTTCAAGATTCCTGACATGGCAGGTTCACTGAAATTCTTTTGTTCTTGTCCTTCTGAACTGATTTCCAGGACTCAGAGCGAGAATCCTTTACCTGAAACATGGGAGGGGGGGGGGGGGGTGGATAGTTCTTCAGCCTAGACCACTGTCTCTTTTTTTCATCATGTTCACAGTGAGATATCTGTGGGAGATTATAGTTCAGTTTATAGTCCGTTTCTTGGTTTGGAGCTTCCTTGACACCTTCAAGTATGATACTCCACTGTTTCTCTCCAGAAAGCCACCGTATTGATATCTGTAATTGCCTTTTAGCTGTATCTCCTCATTTTTTTAAAAATGAAATTATAATTTAGAAGATCAATATGTCCGTAGATGATCCTGGGTTATTATCTGTGGTCATGATCAAGACAAGGTTCAAGTTTTCACAAACACCTTTATCTTTTGGTTGTAAATTTTTTCCTTAACTTGAGTTTGTAATGTTAGTTTTTCTCATTGTTCTTTTCAACAGCTCATTACACTTTGGATATTAGGTCATTGGCATTTGATACATTCTAAATTGCTGATTACCGTTCTGTGACAAATAATTAGATTTAAAATTAAAATTCTTTAAAATTATAAATATATTGATCGATATTTGAAACTAGAATGCCTTTCAGATCTTTGAGTAAGTAGATGCCTTTAAAATTATAACACTTGATTATGAGGAATTTACAAGGAGAGTAATTTTAGCATTGAAGTAAAGCCTACATTTGTACTTTAAACAGAAACAAAATTTTTCAGTATTAGCCACATTAGACCACAAGACCATAAGACATAGGAGTAGAATTAGGCCATTCACTCCAATAATCTGCTTTGATATTCGATCATGTCTGATATGTTTCTCAACCCCATTCTCCTGCCTTATCTCTGTAACCCTGGATCCCCTTACTAATCAAGAACCTATCTATCTCTGTCTTAAAGACACTCAGCAGCCTTCTGTGGCATGAGTTCCACAGAAGATTAATCACCTTCTGGACCAAGAAACACCCTCTCATTTCAATTCTGAAGGGTCATCTCTTCATTCTGAGACTGTGCCCTTGGGTCGTAGTCTCTCCTACTAGTGGGAATGTTTTCTTCATGTGCACTCTTTCCAGGCCTCTCAGTATTCTGTAAGTTTTAATCAGGTCCCCCACATCCTTCTAAACTCCATCAAGTACAGACCCAGAGTCCTCAACCGCTCCTCATATGACAAGCCCTTAATTTCTGGGATCATTCTTGTAAACCTCTTCACAACTCCCTTCAAGGCCAGCACATCCCTCCTTAAATATAGGTCCCAAAACTGCTCACATTATTCCAAATGTGATCTGATCAGAGCCATATGCAGTACATCCCTGCTCTGGTATTCTAGCCCTATCCAAATGAATTCTAACATTGCCTTTGCCTTCCTAACAATGACAGAACCTGCATGTTAATCTTAAGAGAATCCTGAACTAGGGTTCCTAAGTCCCTTAAGCTTTTCAAAGCCTTTTCTCATTCAGAAAATGGTCTACACCTCTATTCTTCTTACCAAAGTGCATATCCTTACACTGTCCCCATGTTGTATTCCATCTACCACTTATTTGCCCACTCTCCTGCCCTGCCCAAGTCCTTCTGCAGCTTCCCCACTTCCTCAACACTGCTTGTCCCTTACCCAACTTTGTGATGTTTCATGTTCCCAAAGGTTGAAAGTGGGCATCCAGGATTACTGGACATGGATGTGTACAGAATTGTCTTTCAAGAGGTCTGTCAGCATTTTTAATCTTAGTTCTTGCTACTTCTTTTACTGTTGTTGTTGTTGTTTACATCAAAGTGGTAATAAAAGATTATGGTAACAGCAAATTTGTTTACCAAGAACAATGCCTCTTTCACTCCATTTTCATTTTATTTTTGCCGATAACTTTAGATTATCATAAATCATAGATCATAGATCATAGAATTTCTAGAGTGTGGAAACAGGCCCTTAGGCCCAACACGTCCACACCGACCCTCAGAACATCCCACCCAGACCCATCCCGCTAATCTACACTTTTCTGGCTTCATCATGAAGATACCCCTACCTGTACCTTATGAAGGGACAAAGAGCAGGTCACTTTGATATCTATTCATGATATCTTAATGGCTGCATCTACAGATAGGTACACATTGCTTACTTTGACACAGAGTTGAGGTCCCAATTTCCAAGAGTGGCCATACACTTAATGATGTGAATGCAATATGTCAAAACCTGACTAATCTTAATGCCAGACAGTTCTTCAAAAACACTGCAATCACAATATTTCATGTTTTCAGTAGCAGTGGATGAAAGAGGCATGGCAGACTGAGCACCTCAGACTTTATGATTGACTGTGCTGACTTATATCAGCAGACATATCTTTGCAATTAACTGGCAATGACTCAAGGGAATGGGCTTCATAGGCACTGAATATAGAGAATCAAATGTGAATTGTACTACCTGGTACATGATATATAATAGTATATAACAGTGACGCTCCCAACAAGTAACATTGCTGGCAGTTATGTCTGAATTCTATTTCAACTTTCAAATCTGCAGAATTATAGGGCAGGTAACCTATTGCAGCAATTATGGTTACTCTCATTAGAATTGTCTCTATTTCACTAATCATCAAGTAAATGCTGGATCACTTGTTGCAAACTATTCCATCTTAGGCTTCCTTTTGCTTCAATTTTGAACGTCACTTCCACCTCTTGTTAACCTTTGAACATGGCAAAGTCTGCAAACAGGCTATATTTTTAGTTTACAATGGTTCCAATAATGTTTTTTCTACCCCCCCTTCTGATAGCTTTGAGTGCATTAATTCCTTTACAGTTCATCTTAACCTTAGTTTTCTAGTGTCCAGCATAAAGTTGCCACTGTATTTATGCTAAAGCTGGAACTGTGATTATTTCCATTAATGAGTTGACCACAGAAATGTTTGTAACCTGTATAAAACATCCACACTTTTAACATAACGATGGAGCCTTAAGAAAAAGCCCAAAAGATAGGGACAGCCTTACAGTGGCTGTTAGAGAAATCTTTGGCTTCACTTTCCAGCCATCTGATCACAAATTAATTACCAGTGGAACTCTCAACCTTGGGAGATGCTGGCCAACCAGAATACTGACAGCTCAGCAGTCATAGCAACACCATTGAGATTGAGCCTGGTGTGCCTTCAGTTTATAAGTGTGCATTCTTGGCACGTTGACTTCGATTTTGCATTTGTACTGTAGATAAAACTGTTATTAACCTCAACGGAGAAGGTGGGGAAAGGTAATGAAACTTGATACACAGGCAGAACAGATTAGATTTTGGTGAAGTTGCATATCTGAATCCTGGAATTTTTTAAAGAATCCATTAACATTGGGAGTTAAGGTGAATAGACTTTTCTAAAATATTGTACATGGTTTCAGTTGTATCATGCAATTTATTATAGCTGTCAAAATGTGAGCAGATTTTCCAGAACAGGTTGCTGGATGTGAATTGGCCTGAAGCATCTTTAGATGAAAGGACAAACTCCAGGATGATATGCATAATTATAATTGCCTTGAGTTAATTCAGCAGGTTTGAGCTCTGCTGTGTGCTCTCTTTTCTTGTTGCCGTATGAAACTGACAGCAACCTTTAGTGTCTGCATCTATGAAATGCAGAAAATTAAACATCGCTGCCAGTGATTTCTGCTTATCCATAGGATGTAAAGTTGAAGCCCTTCCAAATAGAATCAATTAGAAATCACTGAATTTTGAGTGCTTATGCTTGTCACATTATTATACTAATTTTAAAAAAAAGTTTGGAAAGCCACACTTGTTGAATGAAGTGTAATGGTGTTTTTGATGTCTAGTAAGTCATACCTGCTGAATAGTCTCGATGCTTCTGAAAAACATAACGTATTATTTGTTAAAATGTCAAATTTCTCCACTCCAATGATAAAATCGTACAGATATTTAAAATAATAAATTTTTTTAAGGCTTGTTTATGATATGCCATCTTCTACCTTAATCAACTATGTAATGCCAATATTTATTTCATTTTCTGTAAAATAATATGAAGTGGATAATAAAATCTGCTCGTGCCTTTCTGGTTTTAACATCTGTGAGAATTCTTCGATATGACTGGCTGCTAGCTTGCGTGATGACATCACAATTACCAGACATCAGAGTTCCCATCTAGCCAATTTCAGCGTGATATTAAAATTTGAAAATCTGAAGTTTATGCTACAAAGATCACTAGATTAATGTGGGAAGTTTTCTTTAAGGCCAGCGATGAACAGGAACCCTTCATTTACAAAATCTGGGCCATTACCTTTCCTTTTCAAATATAGGCTGGCTATGACAAGTGGCAACCAATCATCATTGACATCTGCAGAAAAAATACATTGTACATTATTTCTTACGGCAGATTTAAAAAAAAGTAGAATTCCTGACATTTGCTAAAATTGTTAATTTGTATCATTTTGAATATGTGATCCTGCATCCTCAGAAGTAACTGTTCTTTCTCATCTTCTGTTCTGTGGATCGATGTAGGTTATTTGATTGAATTTTGATCATGGAGGTGGAGAAACATGATGTTTTGCAGTTCAGCAACCATGGCTGTACCTTTAAGAAGCAGACAGTTTATCCAAAAGACAGATTGGTGGAGGAGTCCAAGTCTGGAAATGTGCCAAATCATTTACTGGAAACCAGTAAGTTAATACAAGCAGCTAATATAATTATAAGTTGAGCATAATCTTAACTTTGATAAATAGCAGGCATAGAAATAAAATTATAAAGCAACTCACAAATATATTTTCTTCTCTTTTACCGGTGAATAACAATTTTGGTTTTAATCAATTGATGCTTGCATGTTCATATTATTTCTAAATGTTCAAATTTTTTGAATCAAAAACATCTTACATTATGAAATAAACTAAATTGGTAAGTAGTGAATGAACACATTTCACAGGGTGGGGAAGGGGTTCGTATACCTCTAAAATGTTAAATGATCAGTTCATTTGAATTAAGTATCTTTGAAAGAAGAGAAACAAACTATATGAACAAATACTAAGTGCATTGTAGATTTTTGCCTATAATTCACTTCAGTACATCGTAATATCATTTTCTATGTGGAATATGTATTTGGTAGAATTAAAGAACTGCCCAGACACCTGTGCAATTTCAAGTCCATTTTCCTGGACAAGTCCTACTTGAATATAACCTTGAATACACTCCTACCATTAATTATGCTTTGTACACTATACAGTGAACGGGATGATATATAAATTAATGAACAGTCCAAGAAACAGCTTAGCCTGCAAACCTGTGTCATCACTGTTAAGTAGAAGATAATTGCAAACTTAGATGTCTAAATGTCTGGTAGAAATTGCAATCTTGCCTCCTGCTTTTCTGATTCTGACTCAGAGTTACTATCAGGGCTGTGGTCCAGTTGCTGGACCCCTGCAGCCATAATTACCTGTTACTGTTGTCCAGTTACTAGAAAGTTTGTTTTTAGAAACAGGTTTGGCGATTAGTTATTTCCCCCTATCCTTTGGCACAGCTTTTATAAAATGCTGAAAGCCCTCTAGTCCTCATCCTTCACTGTCTGCACTCAACCCACTATGTCTACTTTCACAAGCCAAACATTCCTCATGCCCTCACATACCCCCTTGCCCATCTCCATGCCATCTTATATCCCCACACAGCCTCGATGTCTTCTCATTCAGCCAGTAACTCAGTATGAACTATTGGCAAATGCCATGAGCCATATTTACATTAAAAAAACTTATAATGATCTGCAAGAGTTCTCACTCATACACATAGTATAATAAACTCTCATGAAATCTACTTGGAGTTTTGAATTTGTTGTAAAATAAGTCAACTTTTACTTAGTTGCCACAAAAGTAGATAATCCTTTAATTGCTTCCAATCCAAGTATGAACTCAGCCTCCACCCACCCCACACTGATGTTTTTGGAACTTTTAAAACTTAGTTAAGCAATTCAAATGCATGCAGCTGTAATGAAAACCCTAGGAAAATATCAACAGTGAAGTCTATTGAAATGGTCAGAACAAATTGTTATGATATTTTGCTAAGCTATACCAGATGGCCTTTCGATCAGTGAATTCCAGCAACATGATATCTTTTTTAAACTCAAACACAGTTGCACCTTGGTTTTTGTTTAAAGGGATAGGGTGCAAATAACTTCAGATCATGATACTGAACAGACCTTATCCACCTTTCATTTTCAAGAGTGTTTACTTTTCCTTTCTAAATTTGTAATTCGCTCAGAGTGGATTAAACATTTGGAACAGCCCAAAATGGGCTTTGTTTGAACTCAGCACTAATTTCAAACGGCTCAATGGATTTTGGTTTCCTGTCTATATAATTCATGCTTCACACACCTCCCACGCTAACTGAGATCTGTTGAAAATGGAGCTTGGGAAATCCTCATTTTGGTCCTGCCTTGTATTGGCCAAAGCCTCTGGAGTCACTCTGACTCCACAAAATTCTGACCCCATTTGATGAAAGACAAATTTCACATGGGACGTGTTTCTGTCCTGTTTAGATTACAAGGGCAATAACTTTGAAATACTTTTTGAAGTAATAACACTTATTTCTGGAAGAAATTTAAGATTTCCTCTTCTAGGAATTTTGTTAGACTATATTCATTCACATTTCATTGCAGAGATCTTTGCCACAATACAGAAAAACAAAGTGATTGAAGCTGTCCCTGCTATGTTGCATTTTGGAGGTTATGAACTTGGAAAACATCATCAACAGACACTGGTAAGCTGAAAATTTGTGGAAGTGGGACACTTTCTCATGATGTTCCAAATGAACACAACTCTAACCTTTTCACTACTTCTGCAATATGTAGGAGATAAGGAATGGGCAGCTGTATTTTTATAATTTCATACACATTTATGCCTTTTGAGTTTAGATTACATTTAAAGATTGGATGGTGGAATTATAATGATACTAATTATTACAGTTAATAATTCATGTGGCTGAATGTATTGGACACACAGCCTCATCAACAGGGACACTTTGGTTCTGAATTTACTCAGTCAATGAATATGCATCATTCTTCTCTGGGAACCAACCTCCAAAAAAGTCTTTAATGTGGAACATTGGGTTGTTCCCTTTCTGTATGACTAGGCCATCAGTGACTTCAATAATGGTAGCTTGAGCGAATCCAGGTTTTACATTTCTCCAAACCAAATACAGAAACATAAATGAGCATGTAATTAATTATTGAGCTAAACTGTAGCATGCAGCTACAGATCCCACAGAGTTCTTAGTAATTTCATTTAGATGTTAATGACACAGTGTATCAGGAAATTTAAAAATGAATTCCAATTCTTCACCTTTTTTATGATCTGGCCATGAAACTCCCTCTCAAGAGCCACTCAATCACAGGCTCAGGCTTGGCAATCACAACTGCTCATGTTCTGGTCGATAACCCTTCTGTTCTATGTCCATGCCTTCCAGTACTACACAGCACAACTTCAGCTTTTCACTTACAGCTAGCTTCATCAAGCTAGATCTGTCACTGGGATTTCTCTGAGGTCTCATCATTCTTTGTTGCATGAAGGAAATCCTGCTTGAGGCTTTTCAACCCCCCCCTCAACTTAGCTGTACTGATCTATTAATAGAACCTAACTTCATGGGGAGGCAATGGCTTAGTGGTATTATCGCTGGACTGTTAACCCAGAAGCCCAAATAATGTTCTGGGGACAGGGTTCAAATCCTGTCACGGCAGATGGTGGAATTTGAATTCAATAAATATCTAGAATTAAGGAATAATAATGACTGTGAATCATTTTTTTATTATTAGGAAAAACCCATCCGATTAACTAATAACCTTTAGGGAAGGAAACTGCCATCCTTATCTGGTCTGGCCTACATGTGACTCCAGACCCACAGCAATGTGGTTGACTTTAAACTGCCTTCTGGGCAATAAATGCTGCCTAGCCAGCAACGCCCTCATCTGTGAATGAACAAAAAAACACCTAGCTTCATGTGAGCTACCGCAACTTCCACGACTTTTCAGAAGCCCTTCCTGCAATGGAAAAACTTAGAATAAGCTCCTGCTCGATTGCAGTGCAGAGTTGAATGTTGCCTCCTATCAATACTTGGAACTGAGTGTACCATAAATATTGCTAGTTGTGACTGCTGGCTTGCTCAATATGGAAAAAAAATAGAAGACTTCATCACTGATTCTTGGAAAATACATAGTACTGAATTTTGTTTCTTTTGGCTAAGTCTGAGATGCATTGAGTTTATTCACCACAAGACCTAGCAAGTTCTTTTGCTTCATCTTATCTAACTCACTATATTATTAACCTGCCGCGCTCGTATGGCATCTCTCATATCCAATTTTTCCCAATCTTACCACACAGCTTTCCCGAAAGAACTCACCACTCAGCAGATATCCTTGATTTCACCAGCATTCCTTGCACTCATGCGATCTTTAAAAGAACATTTCACAACTGTCAAGAACAGTCAGGCTTGAGCTGGTCTGTATGTTGCTGACATCTTCCCCAACATGGCAGACAGAAGGAAATTCATATCCCATTTTATGTGGCAGGTCCTAGGGGTCCTGCTGGATAGGGTAGTGCCAATGTGGACTTCCTCAACACCCAAAATCAGCAGTGAAGGCCATGACTCCAGACCATTTCAGCTTGGCCCAAGGTTGCTTCCCAGGTTAGAGCACTCTTGGCCATCTGGAAGAACACTCAGCACTGTAGGAAGGACATTAATGACCTTCTCCATTCTGCTGGATAAGTTCCACCATCTTCTCCACTGTACCTCTCACTCACTTGATCTCTGCTACTGTACCAATCTCAGCAAAGCTCATGCTCTACCACTCTCACTGTTGCCTAAAACATCATCCCCATGTTCTCTCACCCACCCCAAGCTCCAGCACCACTCATCCTGTGTTCCTTCTGTGTTGCCTACTCATTTGCTCAGCAATCTTCTCCACGGCGCCAACAGTATTAGCTCTGTCACCCACTTTCATCTCTTGTAATATGCTCCTCTCTCTTATTCCATGAGGAAAACAGCTAAAAATAGGACAGGAAGTGTCAAAGTTGGTAGTGGCCTGCCTGACATTTGCAAACCCTTCCACTTAGGAGGAGAGAATCTTGACTCTGACCATTCTGAGCATGGCTTGGACTGGAATTAGCTGCTGCCATTGACTTGCTTTGCAGTGTGCCCCTGATTATCTCCCTTGACTTGACTGAGGTCTGCTACCAGCTATGATAAGCTTCCTGCCTTGATGTCTGTGCTAAATGACAAGACAAAGCAGCAGTTACATGCTATCTCTGGCTGAGGGGACAAAGTGCAAAAAGGCAAGGCAAGCCAATGTGACGCATGGATACTGTGGACATCCAGGTAGGCTCAGATTGATTGGAAGCTATCACAGCAAGCGAAAAGCCTGTGAGCCAGATGCATCCCTGATGCAGAGTGACCTTGCTGCAGCATTATAATAACAGTTACCAGTGCGGCATTGAAGTGCAGAAGTGTCCTGTAAGTAGATCAGAAATGTACCATGAGGGTTGTTAAAGGTTGACACATGTCAGATGTGAGTGAGTGTGGATTTTGGATACGTGTGGCAGGTGCTCACTTGGCATATCCTGAGATGTTGGTACCTGGTTACTAACATGGAGAAATTTGAAACAAGCAGCAAGTTGAATCTGTCAGGTACTGCTGTGTTTCGTTTTTTTGGTTTTCCCTACATTGAGCTTGTTTGGCATGTTTGGTAAGATGGAAAGCTGAATGTTAATGAGGTGATTTGGGCTGATAACAAGGTGTTTAACAAGCAATAACCCTGTCAATTAGCAACTTGCCATTACCTAACAAGAACTTTACCATGCTATTTATAAAAAGCAAAATGGAGCAAGAGATCTTGACATTGAGATGGGTCGTGCTGCACTTCTTGCCAAATTCTGCCTCACATGTTGCCATAACCAGTATTGCTCAGGTCCCTATATTATTCTGCTCATAGAAATTACAACATGAGACCAAGCCACTCAATCCAATCAATCCATGTTGAGATTTACCCTCCATGCAAGCTTGTAATTCAACTTAGAATTACCCAAGACTATTCCTAAATTCTGTAAATCCCTTTCACTACAATGACAACAAATTTAGCTTCAAATGCACCAATAGAATTCCAAAAGGAAAGGAAAGAAGCTTAAGAAATTACTCACTGGAATACATGATAGTTCTGAAATAGAGTTATAAGAGAATTAATTTGCTGGTTTTATTTTAGATAATGAAGTATGTAAATTCAAAAAGTAATTCATTAGAACACACTTTCTTTAATGTTTACTGTGCACTACTGTTTCCTTGTATTGATTTCCTGATAAGCTTTCGGCCCTCGCTAAAGATACATTAAACATTGTATGTTGTTATTCCCATCATGACATATTCAATAAAGAATTCAATAAGTATCATACTGTGCATATAAGTAGATATTTTAAAAGCCTCAAATACAAAAGTTCTTAAATAGTTGTCTCTTTACAGAAACTGGTCAACATTTCTTCAACAATGATAAATATTCACATTCTACCTCCTCAGACAAAGTACTTCCAAGTCAAATATACAAAGAAGGTGAGTAGTTTTGATTTTATTTGATTGT